TGCAATTATACTGGTTTACCAAGTTCTTTGAGAATTGTTTTTTGAAAAATCCATTTTTTTTTGAATGTCTTGAGATGGTAACATAGAGTGTTGTTCTTTATAATGTTAGAAATATTTTTGAACTTTCTTTTTCAGGTAAAATAATGTTTTCTGAAGGACCTGCTTGAGGCAACATGCAGTTTCTAAGGGCGGAAAATAGAAAGGATTTTCGGTCAGTTGGTCGGATTAATATAAGTATATACCTATAACAATAGTGGGACAACGATGATAGGAGAAAATAATCGCTACACTAAAGAAAATATTCAGAGTCTTTTACATACTGTATTTCGATAAAAACATTCTCTAAGGATACACTCGAGGAATTAAGGAAGGATATAAGATCGAATATTTGATAAACCAGTGAGTAGATTTATTACCATTTTAATTCACATTTTGTGTCAACATATTATTACGAAAAAAAAGGTCTTTTTATTTAAAATACTTATGATACAGTACATATTATAGTATTATTTGTATTTGAAGAAACTAACGAAGCTCCTTATACAACACAAAAAACTGGATCGCACCAAGATATATTTCTATACTTTTAACATATGCTTTACGAAAATTCTTGGTTATTTGTCAAATAATAGAAAATCGATACTTAAGATGGTGAATTGTATGGCAGCTTTTCTTTTCGACAATATGTCATCGATCAAATGATTATATACTGTAGTTATATAGTTATTCATATAGTCCCTAAACTCTTTACGTACGTATATAGTTTATTTTATATTATAATATACGTATAGAACTTTTTATTACAGTAAATTCCAATAAAAGTGATTCATAGAATCAATATCTCAGAATTTAAAATTAGTATTTACTTTGGCAAATTTGTCATTATAGGCAAGGAAATGTTAATTTTACTAGGTTTTAATATCAAAAATTAAATTGGGATATTATTTAACTGTTAAGTTGATAATATATAAGTCATGTGTCAATTAACATTCCAAATCTTATATTAAAAAAACTAAAATATTTTATATAAAAATGAGTACTTACAGTACAATGATTCAAAATGTATATGAGAACTTTACTGCTAACTTGAGTAAAAGATGATTATTGTCGGGGATGATACTAAAATTTGGGGTCTTGGTTTGAAATATAAACTCTACCAAATCTACCTATACAAACACTAACCCTAAATACAAAAAAAATCTCAAAAAAATTTTAAAATTTCAGCATCACCCGATTAGTATTTGGACTCGAGTCAACTCGTAGTTTAAAAAAATATAGTCTTGACTAGAGTTAATTCGAGTTGAGTCTTTTTTTTATAAGCTACGAGTTGACTCGAATCCAAACACTACATCGTCTTTTATTAGAAATGTATTTAATAGCTATTGTTTTCATTAAAACTTAGTATCCCTGTCAAGTAAAGCCATGTGACTAACTCCTCTTTTATTATTTCGTTTAACTCGATTTATCACTTTAAAGGTCAATATATTATGTATTTGCGTGTAATAGTGGACAGGGCGTTAATTTGAAATTTGCATTTTTTCAAAAATTAGTTAAATTACTCATAATATCGACCATTGTCGTGATTTTATCGCATGATTTCGTATGTGATGTTATGAGATTAGTTATTGTTAGTAGTGTTAAGGGGAACGGTTTTTTTCTCAGATAAAGTAATTTATATTTTTTCTGGTATATTGCTTATTTGTTTTAGAGAAATTATGACCTGTCAGTCAAACGTTCATAATTTGAGTTTTTTGGACGACAGTCACGAAGGAATCTTCTCATATTTGAGTACATAGCACTAACCTAGTTTTTGGTTTTACATGTTAATCAGCGGGTTTTTTCCAGACAAATTTTGGCTTTTTTTTTATTTAAAACACTTGCTAATTTAGTTATTATAATAGCACTTATGTGTTACGAGATTTTGAAAGTTCTTGCTTAAAATAAAATGGTCCCAAAATAAATCGCAGGGGGGCGGGCGTTATTACGCGTAAATACGATATTTCATATTAATAAATAAGCACTTTTTTTGATCACAACTACTATTATACAAATTTCTAGTATGTTGTTGAAAGAAATAATGCATTTGTCATAAATTGAATTAAGCGAAAAATAGGAAGGTAAAGTTGCAATCTAACATCATGCACGTAATAAATCAGATCTTTGTGGAAATTATATAGTGACAACTATCGATCTCAAGATGATTTTACTGTTTTGAGTGTGTCAGAAAATAATAAAATTTATACACAAGTGGTTAATAAATTCGGTTTCTTGCTATTATACGATATCAATGACTCTATAATATATATAAATTAAACTCACTAGTTAACAATTTTCTACACTATCATGATTAAAGTAATGGATGCAGCTGGTATTGAAACTCCACTGAAGGCATTTCTGATCAGCAATACATATCTGAACTAGTAGGTATAAAAAATTATTTCTTCATAATCATTAATGGGTGTCTCAAAACTAGATCAGATTCATAGGTGTCTATTGGTATATACATCGTATTTGTAGGTGTAAAAGTTATTTCTTCATACATTAGTAAGGTGTCTCATAAGCTAGATCAGATTTGGTTACTGTTTTTATGAAAATACTGTTTGTTTCTATGATAATTACTGTTGTTAGTTCACAGTTTTGGGTTTCAACAATAGTCAATGTCAGCAAACTTGAAAAAAGAATTGTCAGGAATAAGGTAACAATTTGATAAATTCATTAATATAAAAAATATTTTTACAGATTATAGACAAAAAAGCTTTATCGGTAAGAATTAAACTCATATTGATAAATTTAGGCTTGCTTATTCTTTCTAATCTAATGTAAAGCTAATTTAACATTTCGGGTATCAAGTAGTATCTCTGTACGTACGAGGACTTCATGTATGGAGGTTATGTAGTAGTGCCCTTTAACGACCAATTTTATAAGCATTTATAGATGGTTACCTTTTTGATATATATCGATATATCGGAGTTAACGAAGTTATTAAATTTTTTACAAATTTTATTTAAAACCACAAATTTATTTGATAAGAAAATCTTTTTGTCCAATCAAAATTTCAGAAAAATGGATATTTAATAATATAGTTCGAAATATATAAAAATATACGTATAAGTGTAGCTAAAAATCTTAGTCCTACAGTATAACTAATTGACCAATTTCGATGCGTTATTTTTTAAAAAAAAGTGGTTAAAACATGTGGCATGTGAATCGACTTACATGTGTTGCAGCTTGACAATCCCATAATTGGATCATTACCCTGACATAATACTGTACTTGCTTAAAAAAATTATAATACTGTATTTGTTTTGTAAAATCAAATTCACGTCAATTCAAGTAACACAATAATTTACAAACACGTCTGTAAAATCAAATTCGAAAAATTATCATTTCTCGTTATTTAAATATAATACAATCATTTCCTATAGATACCCGCATCACTGACATTTACTTTGTTAGCATATATCAACTAATGCTTGAGTACGTAAAAGTGTATTTTCTACCTGTGAATTAGGTTCATTATTTTTACTATTTAGGTCAAAGCTGTACCCGAATCTGTGTGTAAGTCTATTCGGGTATAGTTTTGACTTAGCGTCAGTTACCAAAACTTTTTTTTAGTATCTCTTTATACCTCACGTGATATAAATAGGTTTGATTTCTTTTAATTTTATTATTTATTATATATAGATAATTTTATTATTTATTATATATAGATAATTTTATTATTTATTATATATAGATAATTTTATTATATATATATTTATATATATATAATAAATAACTACATCACCACGATTACTGCATTACAGAATTCGACAATGTTATTTTTGGAAGTTATTATATGTACTGTACGTATGTATGTAGTCTTATCTTTATCTCTCTATCTTTTTACTTTCTATAATTTTTCTATACTTACAATTACAATGTTTTTTTTTTCTTTTGATGTAATAAAGCAAACGAAAAAGTAAAAATTTTACATATTCGATTTTATAACCGTACGTACGTACGTACCGTACAGTACATACATCTGTGCAGTGTTAGTACAGTATCTATGCAGATGATTATTTTATAAACAATATAACCTCCTGCACAGATGGTACAGATATTATACAAGAAATGTTATATGGGCCTCCGGATCATGTCTCAATTCAACGAGTGCCTACTTAACAGTTAACCGATTATACTTACATGAATGATCTAAACAAAGAACATGAAATGAATCTATTATAAAAAATGTTTATACAGTATAGAATTGAAAGTTCTTTCGGTCAATACGTATCTAGAACAACTCAATTAATGTGTTTGAACAAACCTAGGTGCAAATTTTGAGTTCGGCTCAAATCAATCTACTAAAAATACAATTTCAAAAATGTGATATCTATAAAAGTTAGATCACAAAAATTATAAAAACATTATTTTACCTTTTTTTTCTTTTCAGATACGAAATTTTATTGGTGGATAGACCGAGATAAGGCTAACTGTAAATATAAAAATTTTCACGTGGTCTTGTATGATGACTTATACATACCGGATATGATAATGAAAATGAATTTCGAATTAATTTATTCAATATATATATTTTTTTTTAATAATTACAATCGATAACCATTCTCTCTCTTAAATAAGAAAAAATTATATGTAAATGGTAAATATTTTTTTTCTTTTTGTATGCATGTTTTTCAACATTTCTTTGTTTTCTAATATTATCGATCATTATTTATCTTTTTATTCAAACTGCAATATTTCTAATTAATATTTATGTAATTCCTCCTAATTTCTGATTTTTCAGTTCATTTATAAAAATTTATAAATTTATATCGATTGAAAATTCATCAAAGGTAACTTGAAAAAAAAGTTCTTTTTTTTTTATTTTTTATTCTCAATCAATCAATTATTCAATTATTCAATTATTCAATTATTCAATCATTCTTTTAAAAAATATTGACATTTTTATATAATTTTTTTGATTAAAAAATATACAGTAGTAATTAATCAAGCACTACATGACTCGACTACTTCCTCCAGAAATTTTAAACATAGTTTTCAAAGAAATTCATGATGAGAGAGAAGGAAGATTTAGTAACCTTAGTTCTTGCGCAAGAGTTGATAGAACTTGGTGTACAAGTGCTATTCCATTACTTTGGTCTGATCCATTCGAAACACATGGTAGCTCTCGTGAATGCGTTATTAATATCTATTTGGCCTTTCTTAATACCGAAGAATTAGGAGAATTAAGAAATAATGGAGTTCCTATTTTTGATCTACCAAATCATCCAATCTTAAACTATCCTTCTTTTCTAAAAACTTTTAATCATCAAATGATAAATAACGCAATATATTCTTGGTGTGAATGTTATGGTGTTATTGATGATGACATAATTTTGAAATACGTACGAGGTGCATTCATTAAAGTTCTTTGTAAATGTGATACAAACTTACGTACACTTTATTGCTCTACTGAATTTGTTGTTGAATACAACTTATTACAATCAAACTTCCATTCTGTGATCGCTTCTGTGAATAAGATGTACATTGATTTAAAATATATTGATATCAAATTTTTATCTTACTTATCTCAAGCTTGTCAACAAGTGGTTTGCAATATAATTTTTTCCCTATTTTTTTTTTTTATTATTTTTTATTTATTTATTTATTTATATTTTCTCTTTGTTGATATTTTAAATTTATATATTTTTATATAGAATTATTTGGAAATATATTTTAGTTTATTTCCACGAACTTCTCAAGATGCCAAAATTGAAGCTGATAGTTTGGCTACATTAATACGATATCAAGTTCAATTACAAAGAATTCATATTTATAGATGTTATCAATATGTTCATCTAATAATTGATGCATTACAACATCAATCAGGTTCATTAAGAGAAGTCGTATTTCATCAAGTTAATTTTCAAGATTGTGGACCTTTACATGGTTTAGCAACTTGTAAATATTTAGAACATTTAGAAATTGGTGAAGGTTGTCAAAACCTTACTGAAGAGATGTGTAGACCACTATTTGATGCATCATTCGTCGATCTTCATGTTGTATTATATAATGGAATCAATTATTCTACCGATCCTTTTAATTTTTTTCATTGTAAAGAACTTGTTGAATGGGCTGAAAAGCAATGTGGAACAAATGAAAGAACTATAAAACAACACGGGGTGAGCCATATTCTAATTTATATACAGTAGGGCATTATATTATTAAAAATTTTGGAAATTATGAAAATATTTTTTGATTTTGTAGATTCCATTGAAATGCTTATGTACAAATAATGTAAAAAGACCGAGAGGCATACACCCTCATCATGTTCTTGGTTTACGGAGTTAAATCTAAAATGTTTAAAAAAATAATGTGGTGATAATTTTTTGTAAGCACAAAAAAAATTCGTTTTTTATTGAATCCACCTTTTTATCATATTTTAATATCATTTATTAATGATATTTTAAAACTCTATTTTTTTTTCAATTCTTGGTGAAAATACACGTATTGTTCTAATCTATTTCTGTATTTATGTCTATTATCACAGCGTCTATATATAGCATTAAAATGTTTTTTATATCCAAAAATTATTAGGACGGAACGATTTAGGAATCAAATTATCTATAACATATAAGAATTGTGTCAAGAAACGACAAATATACATTTTAAATTGCTATGTCTAACCCAAATGCCTCTTGTTTTTTTTTCAGAAAAAAAAAAGTATAAGGGCAAAGTATTAATTAATAATATAATAATACCAAACTCAAGTATATCCGTCAAATTGAAAACTATTGTTAATATCCATCGCATCATTTGGGTGCAATTCTGCAATGCGCTTCATATATCTATCCCACTCCCCAGCTGGACTAAGCGCTTTGGAATAATCTATCTATAAATGTTTATTAAATATAAACGAAAAAAATGTTTATTAAATATAAACGAAAAAAATATTTATTAAAAGTATATTAAGAGATGACTAAATAAAATATTTTTTAAACTTAATAAAATTTACCTCATCAATATTTATACCCCAGGGATCTGCTACACAATAATTTATCATTTAATAAATAAATATTTTCATATAGTATAATTCATAAATAAGATTATTACCATTATCATAAGTTTTATTATCATTCGATTGTAAAAATTGAGGCTCTTCTTGCTCGTCCTGCATTTTCTTGTATGCATCTCTATCGCGTTTCCTTTGTGTTAATATATTCCATTGAATAATCATATCAGAAAGGCTACGTCTAGGTAGTTTTTGAGCAATTTTATGCCAATTTTTAAAACCATCAAAAGCAACACCAAGAGATAGAATATTTTCTTCCTCTTCAGTAAATGGAACGGTTATTTTAGGTTCAGAATTAAAGTCTGTAGGTAATATAAGTCGATACTTTTCTTTTAAAATTATCCAACGAGCAACTAGCTCTACTTGTTTTCTATGTGGTAAAATGTTTTTTATTTTATCCCAATCTTTATCACCATATAATAATACGGCAGTTTGAAGAGCTTCATCTTCCATATCAACCCAAGAATTTATTTCATTCACCATGGATAAAGATATTTCTTGATCTTGACTAAGAGATAATGAAAATGACATTTCTTGATCCCAACTAGGAGAAAATTCACTAATTGTTGATATACTTGATCCAGTCATTGTATCTTCAGTCTCATCAAGTTTTTGATCAGTAGGTGATCGGATTACATTTTGATTTTTTAAACCTTTTGTCCTTTCACATGGAGATATTGAAGGATTATCATATCGACTATGAATTTGTCGATATCTATTAGAACAAGTATTTGGTTTTCTTTGAGAATTAAAATAATTTTCTGATATATATTTCCAACTAGTGCCATGAAGTTTAACAGCTTCTACAAGTAAATCTTCTTCTTCTATAGTCCAACTATTTTTAGTCTTAGAACGTACAGATACTTGTTTTACGGGGACTGGACTTTTCCTCTGATAACTTGACTCTTGTTCAGAGTCACTTTGTGAGGAAATTGTCGAACCAGAAAAGTATTGATTAGGAGGAATTAAAGAAATATCTTCTTTTTTTGATGGGGTATGAAACGTTTTATCTGAAATAATATTTTTTATTTGACCAATTTTTTGAGAATCAGTTATTCGAACTTTAGCTTCACCATTTTCTAATTTAATTTTCTTTTTTACATTTGATTCTTTAACACCTAATTTTGATCTTATGCGCGTCCATTTTTCAGCTATTGCCAAACCTGATCTTAAATTTAAAAAAACTTTTTCAGAAATAAATGTCCAATCCTCCCCATAAACTCCAACTGCTTGAGTTAATTTTTCTATTTCAGCTTTTCCCCATGGTTTATTTTCATCATCATACATAGGCATTATGTCAAATATATAATTCTTTTATATATATTATTCATAATCAAGAAAATTATATATAACGTTTTTAAAAATAATAGGTTTATTATTATTATAATTAAATCGAAATTTATATCAAAAGAAACGAAATCCATATTAATAATGATTATTTATTTATACGTATAATAAAGACCGAATTATTTTACATTACCTTTATTTTTATGCCGTGACAAATGATATTTTTTTTTTATTTTTTTTTTTATTCAAATCTAATTTTGCCAAACAAAAAATTTGAGTTAGAGCATGCAGGGGAGATTGTGAACCTTTAAACAAGCCACGCGTGTAGTGTAATTTTCCTGATATGGATTATGATCTCGTATCGGTATGAAGTCTACGTATAAACTAAAAATCTGTAAAATGAAGATCTTTTCTCATCTCGTGATGATTTGTAATTTTTCTAAAAAAATGACTCGTTAGATTTAATGAAACACGATGTCGATCATATGATATGATTTCCAATGGTCAGATCATGGACGAATATATTTTTGACAAATTCTATAATTTCTGAAAATTGTGAAACTCTGTAATTCCTTCTTTATGATTTCTGTGATTTAATCTTCTATGTAAACCATATAATTCTAGCGTAATTTACGGTGATTCATTATTTGGCGCCGACATACATCACTTAGATTGTCTAATAGGCTGTACTTTAAAAAATATTTAATATTAATTTAGCAACATATTTTTTATTATATAATTAAAAAATAATTTATATATGATACTGTATTTTTTATTAAGGCAATTTTGTACACACTGTATACTTCAGTACTTATACTTATACTGTATATGCACGAATATATTTATATATATATACTATATACAGTATATAACCTAATTATAAAACATTTTTGGAACTTTTAACAAAAAAAAAAATTTTTTTTACAAAATTTTAGCATAAATTATACAGTAATTTTTTTCATTTCTTACTCTAATCATAAGCTAAATTTATAATTTGTATACAGTAGTATACAGTATATCAATAATTAATATTCATAAACAGTATATACAGTATTCTTGTACAAGATTTTGTTACTATAGTAAATTTTAGTAAAATATTTTGATAATAAAAATTATTCAAAATGAACTAATAGATTAAAAGTTATTTATTATACTGTATGTATACAGTATATACAGTATAATATACAGCATTATACTGTATATTTATTTAATGACATTTTATGTTGTTGGTCTCAAACAAAATAAAAAAAAACATTGATTTTTTATTATTGTTTTTTGTCTTAATTTCTTTTTTTTTTTCTGCTTGTAACCCAAAAACCACATGCAGATGTCCTACTAGGCAGTCAAATACAGTAGTAATCAAATTGGTAAGTAAACGTTCACAAATTATTTTTTTTATGCGTTTCAATTTTAACTTTAATTTCTTTTCAGGATAATGATCCTACACGTGTTTATGAATGTAATTCCTCGGGAAATACTTGCGAATATGGTTATCGAGATTTTGTGCACAATGTGGAGCTACAGCTTGTTCAACAAAACCTACCAGATCGTTCCTACTTAGTTACACTGTACATGTAATGCTTTAAAGTGACGGCTTCAAATAAATATCTCATGTTCAACATTAGTTTTAGTTTATTAATGTTCGTCATAATTTATCATGATTTATTGCTTGTAAAATTTTTACTGATCTGTGATAATAATCAAGCTGATTGTCGTAGGTATTATTATTATATTTTAAAAAAGCGTCCTAATAATTATATATGATAAATGTGGTGTATATATAATGAACCCTTAAGTTGTAATGCTTGTCGATTTAAATCAATTACCAAATATTAAATTGCAAAAGATTGTAGATGTCTTGTTTAGTCGGTTGTGCATGAAAAATCAGAAATTAAACCAGGTCAGTAAATGATCATATAGTATCACTTTTTGTATCATAGCAGTTTAAAAATTCATTACGAAAGGAAAAAATTTTCAAATTCCTCACAAACCCACTACAATATATCAAATTATCCGAACGAATATCAACAAACTGGCCCACATTCCTAATACCAACCCAGAACGATTCTTAAAGAAATTTGAAAAATCCCCACCTGACAAACGAAAATACAAATATCCGTTGGGATCATAACGACAACGCACCTAGTATCGCTACCAAAATCAGCACGTAATCGCTTTTTAAATTTCAATCGGAGCACAAGAATAATCGAATTATGAGAATTTTGAAGGTTTTTTACTTATCTATTATTATTATTTATTCGTTTATATTATTATCAGAATTTATGAATTTACTTAATTATCACTATGAATTACATTCGGTTCAATATTTAAAATACATTTATACCCAAATTCAATTTTTTTTAAATACACGTATAAATTTGAGCTTAATGCTACCAATAAAAGGTGTTTTTATTACGTCCACTCCAAGATTTTGGAAGGTTCGAAATCTTTAATGTCATCTACCATTTTTTGAATAGGTTTAAAGTTCGATTCAATGCTTCGAAGCCATTTTTTT